AAAAAAAAATATATATATATATATATATGTATATATATATAAACTACTTACTACTTGTACTAATATTTCCACTTCGCGGTTTTCACTTATCGCGGGTCTTCAGTGTACGGATCCCCGCGTTAAACGAGGATCGAGTGTGGCGTCCAAGCAGTTTTTTTTTTTTTTTCATTCCCTCATACCGCGGCCCTCCTGCAATGGCTCTGCGCCCCCTCTAGGGGACGCGCCCCCCACATTGGGGAATCACTGGGATGATTAGAGTTATGGTTATATTTTGGGCAATTAAAAAAGGCAGTTTTACTGTGATATTGTAGTGAACATTTGTCAGTTGTGTCCAAAACAAAGAAAAAAACAGTTAAATGAATCAAGGAGTTTATTTTTTGTAGACTTTGTCCATTTCATGTTCAGGTGGGGTCGACTCCCCTCCATTGTTCCACCCTCGGACAAGCCGCTGCCTGTTTTGACGCAGTCCGCAGCGGTGAACCCTCCTACCCGCCGCACCATGGGCTGTCTCATATGCGGAAGTTTGACTTTGGTTCAGTTGAGTTCTTGGAAACAGAACCGACAGACAGAAGTGAGTCAGTCCGGCTCCGGACTTCTCCCCACACCCGGACCCGGCTGCACGAGGCAAGGTGAGCGGCTTCATCTGGGTCACGAGCGCGTTACCTGCTCTTATTTCCGCAATCATTTCAACACTTCCCGTTACTTTAGTTTATTTTTAGAAACTTATCGAAATAAGTTGTCCTCACTTCCTTAAGAACAAAGATTATTTACCTAAACACACAGACTTGTCTTAATGAATGCACTTTTTATGGCGCTCCCACTGACTGCACCTTTTCTGACAAGCTGTTTAAAAAAAAACAACAACTAATTATCTGAACTTAAAGTCTGTTTGATAAAATATTAAAGTTGTTTAACAGAGGAGCATTAGTGACAAGAGCATTGGGATTAAATGCTGCTGAAATCAGTCAAGAATTACACGCCTATATTTGTGTCTGTTCTTGTCTGTCTGTTAGCAAAATATCTCATGAACCACTGGATGGATTTTAACGAAACTCTCAGAGAGCAATCACTTGGTGCACATCTACAATAGATCAAAATTTCAAGTCAATCCTATTTAAGATAGCCCCCCCCCCCCCCCAACACACACACACATCTTGAGCTCAGTCAAAAATGGCTCCATCACACAGATGTTGAGTGGAAATTTTGTTGTAGTTGGAGTTGAGTCATCTCTAGCGCATAGTGTGAGCATGATATAGCACGAGATCTGTTTTCAACACTGCCCTTAACTATTTGAGTCAGCTTTACTAGTCTGTTAGCAAAATATCTCATGAACCAGAGGATGGATTTTAATGAAACCTGTAGAACGTAATCAACTCATATTAACTTTTAAAGACAGCCCGGTTCAAAACGGTTGTGACTGTTAATCAATCTTAGCCAGCACAAAAAAATGGCAATAATTCAACCAACTTTGTATCAAGAATAAACTAGCGTGGTAGTAGCTGAGCGTTATCCTAAATCCAAATCAGATTTAGTGAAATTTCGCAATATTGCATAAAATGATGTATAATATAATTTTTTGACACAGCTGGGGTGTGACACGGTGCCGTTTGGGTCAGGATGGTGAGCCGTGCTTCCATTCAGGCCAGCTGACCCATGTCTGATTTCAGATAAAGACCGCTTTTCAACCATGAGTGAAACTAATTTTTTTTTTTAAAGAAAGTCTTTTTTTATTTTAGTTTTCCCACCGCTAAAAATCTCATCTGCTGGAAAATTAAAACACCTATTAATGGCAAGAAAAGTTGATAAGAGTTTGACAGATGTGACCCGAGAGGACAATTCTCCAACCAGCTCCTAGATGTATTAATGGGTGTTGCAGATGAACTCTCATGCATAACTTGTGTTTTTCTTCTAGAACACTGAGAGGTGTGTCCGCTCATGTCTATGCATGATATCATTGGAGATTGCAAAACGAGCCGGGGCAGGAGATGTGCCGAGTGTTTGTTCTCTCCATATTAGGGAAAGTTGTTGATACGAGTGTCTGACTCTTATCGCCTTTTTTAATCATTTAAATATCCTAGCTGACTTTATTCTGAAGGGAATAAAGGAGCAGAAGTGAGCGAATCGCTGCTGTGTGCGGTGGCAACACGGACTCAGAGCTTTAAACGTGTTGAAGGTTCACAGGTCAGAGCTCAAGCGAGAAGGTAAACAAAGTTGCGACAGCGTGAGCGTTCCCTTTGTGTGGACGGATCGTTTTGTTTGTTTTGAAACAGCTGCTGCATTGTTCACCTTTATGAGTAAATATATTAGCGTCGTTACTGGTTCTAAACACATTCTTATTAGAAATATTTATTGCTGAAATTTGAAAACCAGATTAAAATAGTTAATGTTTTAGTTTGTGAGCTGTTATGTTTGGTCAAGTTTTTTTTTTTTTTCTTTTAAGTTTTAACCTTGATGGATTGACCTGGGATCTCTATGAAGCTGGGTGTTTGATCAGGAGAATTAGGCCTGTCGCGATAAACAATAAATCAATTAATCGCATGATAAATGAAAATTATCGACCTCGTTTGCATTTGTCGGCTTTATTGTTTCTTCGTGTCTCTCTCTTTCTACCGAAGACGCCGGATGACAAAACGCTCAACTCTTCACTGACCCCTCCCTTTCTCTTTTCTCTTTAAAGCCATTTTAACCGTCCAAAATCGCGTTTTTGGATCATTAAAAGCAGCTAAGCTGAGAAGCTAAGCTACGAGCTAAGCTAACAGGCCGACCTCAGAAAAAAACCTCCGTCTTGTCGAAGCTCCAAAATTCACGGCTGAAGCCCGTGCCTTTGCGTAAAAAGTTGTTTTTCTCTGCAAGAAGAAGCTGAGAACTTATTAACTGATAAAAAAAATTTTTTTTTATTAAAAGCTTTGTGTAAAAATGCTAAAGAGCTCAACCACACAGAGCGTCCGCCATTTTGAGAACTGAAGAGAGACAGCCCATGTCACGTCAAGGGGCCTCCGTCCCATTTTTCTTAGAGACACGCTGCTCGCTCCCTCACTATCCAACCTTCGGTTCAAACCGTCTTTTACTGCCATCCGGTGGTCAAAAAACGGTACTGCATGCACAACAAATTAAACATTTCTTTGTAAATTTGACAATAATGACTTATTATTGTCAAATTTCAAACAATATTATCGTTTATCGCAATAATTTCTGAGACAATCGCCCAGCAAAATTTGTTATCGTGACAGGCCTAAGGAGATCTTAACTATATTGGTGGGAATATGAAGCTGGTTTTAAACTCAAAGTTATTGACCTCTAAAGAGGTTTGCCTCAGCTGACCAATCACAGTCATCAAGTTCAAAGAAAAACTGTCAAAAAGGTGAATATAAATCTAATTTAAGCTTATTCCAGCTGCCTCCTAGTGAGACTTCATATAAACTTTAAACCTTATAGATTAAATCTTGACAGTTCAAAGCCATTAAATCAGGATTAAGGACAAATATTATTCAGTCTAGTGGTGAAATAGATATGTTTTCTGTTTTCCAGACTCAAAAAAAAAAAAAAAAAGTTTCTTTTTTTAATTCAAAATATAAAACATTTATAGTAATGAAATTGTTATGAAAATGAATCTATAGATGCAAGATGAGGCAGCTTGGTGAATACGAGTCAATTTTTCTATCAAGTAAACAACAAATAAACCTTTTTAATCTTCAGTTGTATTTAGTAGAAAACTAACATTAGTTCCCCGTTAGGTTGCCAGTTAACAGAAACATTTTTTTTAGAGTAATCAATGTCTGTTTAATCCAAATAAGAATCAATTTCATTAAAACGTCTCCAGATGCTGCTCAGTGAAAAGTCAAATGTAGTGATGTAATGGTTGACTCTTGCAGTTTCACATGTGCTGAGTTTATCTCTAATCCTAACTCGGGGAGGAAGTTAAAAAAAAAACAAGCAATGATGATAAAAATTCCAAGCTGAACCTGAAGTTACTCCACAGCACGGGACACTCTAGGACTTTTTTATTTATTACTTTTCAGGAATTCGCCAGGCTCACTTTCATCTGTACCTTTATTTTCTTTCCTTCCCCACATCCTGTTATGTCTCCTTTTATTTTTTTTAATTTTTATAAAATATTCTAATTTCCCTTCAGGCTTTAATGTGAGACTGTGGTGGCGGGTTACAGCAGGTCTTGCTTTGTCCCGGTGGGACCTTGCGATGGAAGCTCGATTTATATTTTTAGTAAGGCATACCTCTGGAATGATGAAAACAATTTTTTTCTTGAAACACACATTTGAAGAACCAAATGTCATCACTGCTCAATGCACAACTATTTTAATGTAGTATTTATTTCAAAATTAGATTTGTAACCATTTTTCAAAGCAGTTTAAAATGTACAAGTAACATTAATTCTCTTTCTAGGCCCAAGAAACGCATCTCTTCCATCAAAGCCATTCAAAAAGAATGGACATCTATAAACTTTAGGTCTATAAAAGATAAAGTTTCTTGAAAAATGGAGGCTTTCTCCTCCAGATTATGTTCCAGATTGTTCTGCAACCCAACTTTCCATTAACAATTCATGCATCCTCCATTAAAGTCTGATGGAATAGCTTTTTATGTCTTTTTTCCCCCCAGTAAAACTTAAAGGATAATACCTATATGGGGATTTTTGATGTCTTTATGTTAGCATAGCCGCTTCATGGTTATTCGGGCAAAGGTCATATATGGTTGATGGGTTTTTGAAGATGTACAGGCCAACATGTCTTCACACCTGTCTCCCTTACACAAAACTATTTTCCACAAATATGGTTTTCCAGTTTCCTACATTATCAGTCTAATAAATTTTATAACTCGACCTCAGCCTGGCTTCCAGTAAATAGCTTGCAGCTTTAGTCTTTCAAGGGTAAAGGAATGCATAATGGGCATGCATGGATAAAGCAGTGAAACGGATTAATGCTTGAAAAGTTTTTTTTAATTTTATTGTTTTTAATCCACCACATAATGTTAGCTCTGCTGTATGCATAGAATCAGGATTTCATTTCTTCATTTACTTAAAAGTAATGTGGGTGTTCATGCATTTAGCTGGTACAATGTTTAAGATTGATGGCACTGAAGGAGAAGCTTTCTAAGAAACTTTGAGCTGCCAATGAAATGAAGTTGTGCTTCAACAAGTTGCTCTCTACCCGACGTGTGGCTTGTCTCTGTGCAGGTCCAGCAGCACAGCAGTTCCTTGCGAGAAGATGATTCTGTTCCACATTTTGAACATGGAACCTCCATCTTCAAAGCTCCAAAATTCATGGTTGATACCTGTGCCTTCATCTAAAAAGTAGTTTTTCTCTGTAAAAAGAAGCTAAGAACTTGTTTACTGATTTTTTTTTTAATTAAAAGCTTTGCGTGACAAATGCTATGCTAAAGAGCTCAAACCACACAGAGTGTCCGCCATTTTAAGAATCGAAAAACGGGAACAAGAGACAGCCGATGCCACATCAAGGGGCCTTCCTCCCATTTTCTTAAAGAGACACGCTGCTCGCTCCCTCACTATCCATCCTTCAGTTCAGTCTTATACTGCCATCCGGTGGTCAAAAAAGGTACTACACACAAAAATTAACCTACATTTCTTCTTAAATTTGACATTACTAATTATTGTCAACTTTCCAACAATATTATCGTTTATCGCAATAATTTCTGAGACAATTAATTGCCCTGTAAAATTTGTTATCGTGACAGGCCTATGCATGAAAGACCTTTCTTGCCATCAGTGGTGGCTCCTCAGCAAAAATATTAGTGGGGCGGACATCAATTTCCTGAAAATGTGTACAAATTGCGTTACGTTTTCTGTGGGGAAAAAAACAAAACAGATGCATGTTAATTTATTGTTGTTGTTGTTTTTGTGTGTGTATATACCGTTCTTAGTTGTTGCCTTCTTTCTCCCTCCTGCGGGTCAAGGTTGTGTCTCGTGAAAAACAGTCCAGTCTAATAAATCAGAGAAACAAACTCCCACACCCAGCCGACAGGTGCACAGCTTTCTGAAATGGATTTCTTATTTGATTTAAAGTAATAATTCTGAAATACTAGTAATACTCCAGATTAACATAATTAAATGGGGAAAAAAGGTCAGTGAAATAACTATCCAATAATATAAAAGTGAAAAATGATGATACAATATATCATCACCTAATCAAATAGAAGATTCAAGTGTGGATGGAACCCACAAACACTGTTACAAGACCACGGTTTCATCCATTGACCCACCACAGCCACACATCCAAGCCACAAGATGGTTTAAATAGGATCCTACCACGTTGGTGGACATTTCTTGTTCTTTGATTTTCCTCTGTTCTTCTCAGTTTTCTGTTCTGGTCCTCTCTGTCTGCTCTGAATGGATTTAAAAACGCATTATCTCCACTGTTGGTCTCAGCAGGTTTCACTGCAGCTATTCCTGGGTTTGAGCTCATGTTAGATCTAGGTAGAGGTCTTATCAATGTGCTAGGCTGAGATGGTGTAGAGGTAGGGCATCTGACTTGGCACCAGAAAGTTGCAGGTTCAATCCCTGCCATGCCCCCATATCGTGGTTTTCAAGACACCTTATCCCCAATTGTTCCCTGGGCACTTGCATAGCTGCCCACTGTTCCACCTAGGTATTTCTCAGGTGTGATGGGTTAAATGCAGAGAAATATTTTTTGTCATTGTATGGGAACGTACAATAACGACAACACATAGCATTCTTCTTCTCTTCATCTAAAACCAGCAGAATTTGTCTACAGGGCAAATAATCAGACGCCCCAAATAAAACTATTATCTGACCTGCTTGTTTGGATTCCTGGCTGCACGTTTGGATCTGCTTAACGATTAACAGTACTGGCCCGCAATAACAAAAGTAAATAAATAATTATTTATTAGGAGGAACTACTTTGTGGGGCAAATTAATTCATATATATATATATATATATATTTTTTTTTTTTTTAAATTATTTTAAGCCCCTATGGTGTGGACCAGCTGCCACTGCTTGATATTTCCCAAGCACTAAACCCCAGGACTGAGTTCAATGGACCATGTGTTGCTGGAAAGATGAATAACCAACATTTGACCACTTGTCTTAAAAAAAGAGGAATGATGTCGTTGCCTTGCAGTGCATAATTTGTTAACAAAAGTTCAACAATGCTGGATATCTCTCTGATTCCCCCCCGCCTTTCCTCTTAACTGCAAGTTATTTCCAACTCCATCTCATAAAATTTGCTGAAAACATGCATCATCAACATTTAACACTTAATGAATCACCATAGATAGACGATCTTCTCACACTATCACTATTACTACCATAATGAAATGCCTTTAAAGACCCTTAGATTTGCTCTGTAGATGATAACAGCTATATAACGGCTGAGGCGAGCTGGTCTGGGAAGCTCAGTCCTCACCTCCTTCTACAGGTGTGCAGTGGAGAGCATCCTGTGCTCCAGCATCAACGTGTGGCATGGAGGCTGCACAGCTGCAGAAAGAAAAGCTTTGCAGAGAGTGGTGAAGGCTGCACAGAAGTCTGTCGGAGTCAGCCTCCCCACCATCACAGACATCTATACCTCTAGATGCAGGAAGAGAGCCACCTGCATCATGAAGGACCCCACTCACCCAGCACACACACTTTTTGCCCCGCTCCCCTCAGGAAGGAGGTTGAGGAGCATTAAGTGTAGAACCACTAGACTGAGGAACAGCTTCTACCCTGAGGCTGTTAGACTCATGAATCTTTAACTAGAATAATCGCTGTGAAAAATCGCATCATGTTGCTGCTGATCTGTTTCATGTTGCTGCTGATCTGTTTCATGTTGCTGCTGATCTGTTTCAATGTTGATGTGTTCATGCGTGCTCATCTGCTCACAGACTCATGTTCATGTTTGTGCTGATGTTCAATGTTTTTATGTTATGAGTGCTTAGTGTATATTTAGTTGATGTTTTTCTTAGTTCATATCTTAGATGTTATCACTGTTTTTCTTATACATTTTATTGTTGGATGTAACTGGGACCCTGTGTACATAATTTCGCTCCACCACATGTACCACATGAGGTGCGAATGACAATAAAGAAACTCTGACTCTGAATATATTAAATTGTACATCTCTGTGTACATCCCTCCCTCCCACTATAATTGTATTTGTTTAGTATGTGACGTATTTGTTCAGTAACTGTTGAGTTTTCCCCTTGTCTGGTTATGTCCCTGCTGATGTGAATTCCTGCCCATTTAAAGGTATCGGTTGTTTTTGTTTTCAGGTGCATCATGAGCAGCAGCTACAGCGTCTCCCTGGCTGGCCCCGCCCCCTGGGGCTTCAGACTGCAAGGAGGGAAGGACTTCTGTTTGCCCCTCACCATCTCACGGGTAAGTGGAAAACACACACACAGACACACACACACACCCTTCCTTTCATTACGGTCACCTCAAAAGAATTTTCTCCACGCACATTTTGCCATTTGCCTCATCTGTTCCTTTTGTCTCTTGTGGGACACTTGTTTCTGGATTTAGACACCTTACTTATCAGCTCTTGGTCTTTAAATAGCAGGATTTTACTTGCCTCCTGTCATGTATTGTTGTCAAAACATTGTTACATAAGGTTTTGATCACATAATCTGTCCATTAGAAAAATGAAGAGCCTATTTAGTGAATGAAGCAGACTGATTTTAATGGCTGTTCCTGTCATTTTGGTCGTCCATGAGGGCTGAGCGTCCAGTCCTCATCCTTGGTATGTGATTAAAGATCCAGGAGACCAGGCTTTGCTGCTGAAGCAGTTGACTGTAACTCTAGAGAGCCACAGTGGTTCTGTAATAACTATTTGGGACGTTTTGCTTCATAAATTCAGAGTGGACTAACCAGGATATTTCAGCCCACTGGATGACTTATTGTTTAAAAGGAATGATAGTCTTGGCCTCTGTGTAGACCAAATTACATTATGTTTTTACATACCTTAAGAGGACTTTGCTGAAACTCTGAGGTTGTTGAAGAAAAAAATAAAGAAACCCTTCTGTGCAGTTTGCCCTTTGTCTTGAAGGAGTCTGCGTTAAGCTTGACTGAAGGGTTTCAATTAGACAAGCAGTTCTCATTGTCAAACACAATTAAAGTAGGCCTCTTGTCCTCTACCAGTATAGATTATACTCTGAGGACAGCTCAAGCTTCTGCATAATGTACCGTGTCATTCAGTTCTCGACATTTCCTGTTTTGAAACTCTAATCTCCGTGTCATGACCAAGGTCAGTTCCTCTGTTTATTTGTTGTTGGCAGGATCACTTACAGGATTTTGAGCATCATGTACCGACAGAAATCACGTCTTTTCATTTGGTAACATGATCATCTGGGTTGGGACATAGTTACACAAAGACTTTTGAAAGGCCAACATCGCTATCCGGACTATTTTTAAGTCCTGCTATTGCGATAATGGTGGTATGCAGGACATTATGTTGTCAGTAGCCCTGTTGCCACTATGAAAACAGCTGATGATAGAAGCAATGTCAGTCTCGTACACAGATTAGATATTGGACTCCCTTAAGGACAGCACTATTTCACACGTTTAAGAATTCACTTTAAAGATATTAAAATGTCACAGGTATAAATCAACCTTCAGTCAATCATAGAAAGTTAGATTACTGGAACTGGATGTGGACTAGCTACATTTTAATAAAATATTCTATTTGGAGGTCAGTGGTTATTTTTATGCTGATCTTTAGAAATCAGGACAAACAATGATTGATTCATATGTTATCATATTAAAATTGTTATAAATGCAGTTCCAAGTGTACATTTTCTTTCTAAAAGGAACATATCCATCCATCCATCATCTTCCGCTTGTTCCCAAGTCAGGTCGTGGGGGCAGTGGCTTGAGCAGGGAGGCCCGCACATCTCTTTACACAGCCACCTCTTCCAGCTCTTCTGGGAGGATTCTAAGGCGTTCTCAGGCCATTCTCCAGCGTATCCTGGGTCTTCCCTGGAGTCTCCTCCCAGTTGGACATGCCCGAAGCACCTCCCCAGGGAGGCGCCCAGGGACCATCCTTACCAGATGCCCGAACCACCTCAGCCAGCTCATCTCGATGCAGAGGAGCAGTGATTCTACTCTGAGTCTCTCCCAGATAACTGAATTTCTTAACCTATCTCTAAGGGAGAGTTCAGCTACCCTGTGGAGGAAACTACTCCAACTGGGGGTGGGGATGGAGACACGTCTGTGTTGCGTGCGCTGTTTTGTCTCGACAGTTTTTGAGCGAGGTGAGGTGTGGATACGGCTCCGCATGAGGGAAACGGCTTTTTCTGTTGCTTTTTAGCCAGCGTGTCTGTATTGCACACTGCTTAGTGCTACGTAAGTGCCATTAGTTGTCGACAGGTGGTTGTGTGTGTGGGTTTGGTTCGGTAAGCAGGGTGCTCAGTTCTGTTGATGGGGCGGGGCACCCTGCTTGTATAATGGTAGGGGAAACATTGCATGGTGTTTGTGATGGACAAATCATGACTAGCACAGAAATCCAACACAGAACACCACTCAGGTTCAGTTCAGAAGCTGTTCTTCCCAATCATGCCCCTGCAGGTCAGTTTCATTACCCAAATATTCAATGAAGTGCCCCAGAAGAATAAAGGAGTCTCCAGCTGGCACACCCTCCAGCACCCCCACTAAGGACTCCAAGAAGGCTGGATACACTCAACTGCCGTTTGGCACATAGGCACAAACAACTGTCAAGAGCCTGTCCCCCCACCAGAAGACGCTGGGAATCCACTGTCTCATCTACCGGGGAAAATTCCAACACCCAGGCACTAAGTCAGGGGGCTAAGTGTAGACCCACACCAGCTTGGTTCCTCTCACCATGGACAACTCCAGAGTGGAATAAGGTCCAGCCCCTCTCAAGGAGACAAGTTCCAAAGCCCATGTTGTGCATCAAGGTGAGCCCAACTGTATCTAGTCAGTACCTCCCAACCTAAGGCAACAGGTTCAGGCTCCTTCCCCACCAGAGGGGTTACACTCCACGTCTCAAGAGCCAGCTTTGGTAAGCCAGGGTTGTTTCTTCTTCTTTTGGCTGCTCCCTTCGTCCAATCACCAATCCCACCCACATTTTGATGTTGTCAGTACCAGGAGTTGAACCAGCAATCTTACAATCACAAGCCCACCTCTGCACCACCGCTCCCTCCTTTTTTTTTTAAACTAAACAAGCTTTTCTAAAATTTGACAAAATAACTACATGTGCACAAGTACTCGGACTAATTTCCCATTGTACAGTTGTCACAAAACTTCAACGAAAAAGTTAATATTTTGGTCTCTGATGTGCCATGCCATTCTTTAAAACAATAAATTAAATGGTAAATTTAGACAAAGTGCATCTTCCTAGTAAATGGCTCAAATTTCTTGTTTTTCTTCGGGCTCTAGGAGGATGCTTCTTTTGTATTTTAATCTTAGCTGGAAGTCTAAAGTCGCAGTTGTTGATTAGTACACACTGTACATTTGTTTGTCCATTCAGTCTTGATGATCTTTAAAAAACGAGTATACTCCCACGTTTTGAAACATCTGTCAACAGTTTAATGCTTCGGTTCCTTCATTAGAGTGAACTGGTTTGACCTCGGGCTAATTTTAGGGTTCATTAGAAACCTGCGATGATGAATACGCTTACTTGTGCTGTGAGAAATGTGCATCTGTTGACGACACGTTCAAAATCGTCTTTATTTCACGCCAATGAATGGCGTTGCCATGGAATAATGATGTAATGACTTTACATGTGGAAACGATCTGAAGATTTTGCACTAAATATATGACTGGTTTCAGAACAACCAACATATCCAGAACCCCTTTTTTTTCCAGCTTTGGTTCTTATAACACTAAATTAAATTCTGAGACATGGTACATGCGTATTACAACTCATTTTGTAGTTTGAGATAAGTTGAGGGTGAATAAAGAGAACTACGCTCCAAGTGTTGGATAATCTTTTTTTTAAACATTGATTGTAACACCACAATATTAGAAATTATGTAAAAATAAAAAATTGTCTAACTTTTATTGCCCACATATGTTTAAATATAAGTGTACGCAGTGTGGTTGATGGTTTAAACTTGCACCACCACCTTATGAATGATTTATGAAAGGAGGACCCAATATGGACTTGTATGGAGTCTTATTTTACATCGTTTCAGGGATATTAGTTTGTGGTTATTCCATTTCTTTTTAAATGTTCCTTGACAGGCTTCACAAAACACACAAAACATTGCTACTGTAGCATAAAAGTCTATAAAAAATGCACAAAAGTTAGCAAAGTCAAACAAAACTTGTGGAGTCTGCTCTGTTTTTCTCTGACTCATTTCATGTATGTGCTTTTCATTTGTAGGTTTAAGGTCTTACAATAGTTTAAACCAACATAATATAAGCTAAATTTAGCTTGTGTTTGCTAAAAGCTCTCTGGCTCCAGATGTTTCTTTTTCCAACCATAATATCCGTCAATATGGTAGAAGTTAAGTTGTCTGTGTCAAAGGGGGAATTTAAACTTCTTCAGTAAGGCCAGAGGTAACTTGTATTTGCTAGATATTTTTTATTTGTGCTGTAAGAAATCACAAGTTTTTGGACTGAATCCTTCATAAACAATACCATTGAGCTACATTATATATTTATATATATGAAACTGAGACAGTTGTCTAGTTGTTTAAATTTTATCTGTATTGTGAATTTAATTTAGTTTGAAACACTCTTTTACTGCACTCTTTGATCTGGTTTTACACATGCTCTTCACTCACCACCCATTATTCTTCCCAGACATTTTTCTGAAACCCTTTAAATCCAGAAGTCGAGAGGCTGGCCAGAAGAGCAGTTTAATTTCCTCTCTGCAGACTTGACAGACTTCTATAAACCACTTTGAAATAGCTGCGACCTTTAGCGAGCTGGAGCTGCTTTTATTCATAATAAAGTATGATTTTGAACAAAAATACGAACAGTTTGAAGGGAACATCACTGGATAACTGAATTGGCATTATATTCATGCACTTTAAATAATAAAATGAATGATATATTTACATGAAGAGCATTACTGATTTGTTGGTAAAAAATCTGCTTGTTGTATTTTTGACTTTAAAATAAATCCATGTCCTTGAATGAAGACCATTACTGCTTTCTGGCATTGAATCTAACTACCGGTTAAGTTTGAGTGCAGAAAAAAAAAAAAAAAAAAAGAGAGCAAGCTGCGAAAAAACACACCCTGTATTTTAGCAAACCACACAGACAAATAGCTTATAGTCTGTGCTTCTTAGCTGAGAAATAGCTAGCTTCTTAAAAAAGTCATCTGTTACATCGAAACTCCGTTTATTCAGGCTTTTCTCACATGATTACATAGAATGATTTAAAGTTGAAAAGGTATTTTTAATAATACTTGT